ACCAACACTATCAGTATCACAATATTTATTGGTTCAAGAATAATTGATGGAATTCATTCGTATAGAATGGAAATCAATGCTCTTATGTATTAGGTTGGTTTTGGTTATTAGGAATGTTTGTATTATTGTAATAAAGACATTGACTAATCCTTCTGAATCATTTCTATTTTCTATACATTACACTATCTTTTTGGTAAATTGAGGCACCATATTTTATCAAGCACAATGCTGTTTCTCGCTGTTCATCATAAGTACCCTGAGCATGTAGACAGTAATGTAGTGCTGTTTGTCCAGCAGGCACAACACCTTCACCTACAAAATGATAATCAATGTCAGAACACATGAAAACTAATTACTGTATATGACATAAAGTAAACCGAGATGAAATAATGCAGTGGCGGATCCAGGAATTTGAAATAGAGGGGCCCAGGACAGATGGAAGGTCTATACCACCTCAGCTCCACCATGGTTGGGGCTAAAATAAGAAAATTTACAATTATGGTACCTCTAGATAGTTGGAAATGTAACTCTCAGACTTAAAATTTGAAAATTTTCTTTTTTTCTCCAATTTTTAAGGGGGGCACAGTCTCCCTTAAATTGAAAAATTTAAGGGGGGGGGGGGCTGGGCCAGTGGTAATATATAATTATTATTCTGAATGATCACTTACTGTAACTGATTAATAATATTAAAACAATGATTATAGTAACAATACAGTAATAACAACAACAATAATGACCAATATAATTAATCATTATAGCCTTGTCTAAATTGATTGTGCAGGGTCCTCATAGTGGTGACACCAAGAGGTAATCAATTTTGCCAAAGAGTGCACTGCACTGTTTAGCAAAAAATAATAATAATGAATAATTATAAGACCTATAAAGTGCACATATCCACTGCAGTAGCGCTCAAGGTGCTACAGGAGAAACCAAAATTACATTGAACCTTCAATCTGAAACACCACACACATCATTATTGCTTTTATTCCTTTTTGCTTGGAATTTTCAGACCTGTTTTATCCCATTTTTACCAATGTAACTTTTACAATTTTAAACTTTATATTTTAACATTTTATGATGTAATGTATGTTTTGTGTATTTTAGTAGGTGATTGCATCATTAAGTATAAATATATATATATACAGTATATATATATATATATATATCCAAATAAATATAGAGTTGCTGCATAGACAGATTTGTATATATGTAATAAGAAGTCAAACAAAGTTCAGTATCTGTCTCAAAATAAAATATTTATTGTACTAGTACTTTCGACCATAGGTCATCATCAGGTACTGATAGGATAGTGGAATGAACAGGGTTATATAGAGAACATATACAAAAGAAGCGGTGGTATCGGTAAAGCCTAAACGGCGGTACTGACGGCATAATGAAACAATGAACATAGTAAGACAATACAAACAGCTACGCCTAGAAGGCGTGTAATGACATAGGTCTAACAAAAGAAAACAAATCAAAGGCAAAATAAATGTCATAAATAATTTGTTATTTCATTTATCTTGCTATGATGCATTCAGTGACCATTTATTTATGACATTTATTTTATTATATTTAATATTGCCATATGAAATCCCTCCTCGCATCCTCACGCATCACCACTAAACCTCCTTCATTTAATAATCAGAAATCATCAATTCGTAAAGAACCTTCCAATAGCCACACATTTCAATTCTCCTAATAATAACATCAATGACTTGAGATTTGTACTCATAGCCAATAATTTTAAATCTCTCAACGATCACTGCATTTCCAAACTGCATTTCCAAACTCAAACTTATACTTGAACACAAAACCCACACCATAGGCCTCAATAAAGATACCACTATCTCAATACCTGACTGCTTTGATCTCTGTCTGCTTTTACTTTGTATATTCATTTATACCTCCATGGTATATTACAGCATAAAAGATTAGATAATTGGCCTATAATCCATCTACATCACTATTGTATTGTTTATATTGTACAGTATACAACTGCAACAGCCAATCTTGTGCATTCAGTAAAGCTGATGGAGGCCAAAAGACTGGTCGAAAATGTCTTTCGAAAATAATTACAGTGTTCAATAGTCTACATGCCTTGTCATAATTGTTTGTTTCAACGACTGATATATATCAAA